TGACCGTTGCCAACGGTCAGTGGGGCCCACCTATTTCGAAAATTAAAAAAAAACAAAAAAAAAAAAAATTCTAGCCGTTGTACCGGGCCGGTTAACCCGGTAAGGATAACTGTTCATTGGACCGGGTTCAACCGGTCTGGTTACACGTTTTAAAATTCTAAACGGACCAACCCCCTCTACCCCTCCTACCCAGCCCAGCCTAGCCCCCTTTAACAGGTCCAGGCCGGTTCCGGGTTTAACCGGTCTGGACCGGTCCGGAACCGGGTCAACCCGGCCCGTTTAACACCTATAATCTGTATCTTGTTCGAAGGTTTTGGTTTTATATTTCTCATATGTGTTCTAATTAACTTGTTTTTACTATATAAGATAGGGGCTAATGCCAAACCCCCATCATCATGGGCCAGCATAGCACATGGTGAATGGCTTCAATTAAAAAAAATTAACCTTAGCAGACAAAAATAAAAGAGAAAAACAGTATATATCACTTAACTATGGTTAAATAATAATATAATATATGAATAAAAGATACATAATATCTTGCATTCATTAGTTTGGAGAAACAGAATATGTATATATCACTTAACCATGGTTAAATAATAATATAATATATGAATAAAAGATATATATCTTGCATTCATTAGTTTGGTGTAAACACTAAGCAGAATAAAATGTTTAGTTACCATCTTTTTTACGGGAAGTCCGGTGCACTAAGCTCCCGCTATGCAAGGGTCGGGGGAAGGGCCGGATCACAAGGGTCTATCGTACGCAGCCTTACCCAACATTTCTGCAAGAGGTTGTTTTCACGGCTCGAACCTGTGGCCTCTTGGTCACATGACAGCAACTTTACCAGTTACGCCAAGGCTCCCCATCTGTTTAATTACCATATTGCGTGTTATTAGTGTCAAGTATCTAGACGATGAGCAAACAAAAGTAATGCTTTTAACATGGTTCAAGAAAAGAGTGAGCGAATGAGTTTGCATTTTGTAGTATTATTAGTTGAATAGTTCCTTCATTTTCTTTCAGGCCTTGGCTTTATTGAACCGCATGGTTGGGCAGCTGATAACGAGGATCAGATTTCACCTTTAGGATTTGAAATTATCTTTCCCAGCATGATCAAGTATGCAGAGAAACTGAATTTGGATCTACCTTTGGATCTTAACCTTGTAAATAGGATGCTCTGCGAACGCGAATTAACAATTGAAAGGTATGCTTCTTTATTAAATGGTCATTTTACATATTATGAAATTTATTAGTTTTGCAGCCTTGCGCATGCCGCATTCCCGTTAAAACCCCTACATGTATAAAACAATTATAGGGGAAGTTCAACAATATTAGTGATCTGAAGCTAAATCTTAATAAAGGCCTAAGACTAATCTAATTCGATTCATATATTTTAATAAGAAAAAGGACATATCTTTTTTTTATATCTATAGATCAATAATCAAAAGTGACAAAGAAAAATATCAAAAAAACTTTGCTGAAATTGGAAAAGATAAATGGCTAGAAATAGGAAAAAAGAATGGATATATGCATGAAAGGAAATATCATTGAGGGTAGGAGAGGTAAATGTACTACTTGTAGTTAATAATCTTTTGGAAGAAAGAAGTTTACGCACTCATCTGTCCAAACAGCAAAAAGCAACATAAATTTTGAAATTACTTATAAGTAATAGGTATTCCTTTGTTTCAATTTATGTGACAACATTTTCTTTTTAGTCTATTTTAAAAAGAATAGCCACTTTTTAAATTTGAGAAGATTAAACTTCTCATTTTTATTCTTACTGAGAAACATTTATACCCTCACAAATATCTATGACTTTTTGGACCATAAATTTTAAAATTGTTCCTTTATTTCTTAAACTCCATAATAATTCAAATTTTACCACATAAAGTCTCCCGTGGGGGGTATATAATAACTGTAATTTGTTGCCTGTAACTATTGAGACCTAAAGCAATGACTTCATTTGCCTTGTCTTTAATCGATCACTGAACAATTATACGACGGTATTTGACTAGGTACAGAATTTAAGGAAGATTGAATGACTTTTGCCACATGACAAAAGTGCCGCTAGTACTTCTGAGACTTACACATGACATGACATTTATTTGATTATAAAAGTATCTCATTAAAGATAAATTAGAAGTTTACAAAAAAGTTATCAAATAAAGAAAGAGATCCTTCATTTGTGAAAAGACATCTGAATCTGAATACACATCTGAATATTAAGATGTATATTAAAATCTTAATACTAAATAATTAAGACTGTTTGTTTTTTAACATCTGAATGTATAAGATTTATCTTATTTGAAAATTAATANATATATTTAAAATATAGTAGTTAGTGGTGGTGATGGGTAACTATGATGTTTGTGAATGCCGACTAGAGGCGGTGGTTTTGGTTGATGGTAGTGGTTCTGAGTAGTAGCTAGTGGCATTTGATAGTGATGGTGTTGGTAGGTGGTAATAATTAATAATGGCGGGTGATAGTAGTGGTAGTGGTAGTTCATAATGGTGTTCAACGACGACTATGGTTGATGGTTATGGGGTGGATAGTTGTGGTAGTTAAGGTGGATAAGTTAGTAATTGCGGTTGAGAATGATGGTGGTGGGGGTAGTGGGGATTCTGGATGGTGGTTGTCGATAATGGTGGTGGCTATGACTGAGGAGGTGGTAGTGGGTGGCATGGTAATAGTTGATAATGGTAGGCGGTAGTGGCAATTAATTATGAACGTGGATGATAGCATCTTCATGAAATTAAAATCTTAGTTATAAATCTTAATCATACAGATCTATTAAGACTCATTAAGTGGTTATGAAGTAAAAAACAAAATCAGGCCTCATTTGTTTTTTTAAGATTAAGACGTCTAAATCTGAATTCACATCTAAATATTAAGATGTATATTAAGATTAAGACATTTGAATCTGAGTACACATCTAAATATTAAGATGTATATTAAGATCTGAATACTAAATGATTAAGACTGTTTGATTTTTAACATCTGAATGTGTAAAATTTATGTTTATTTGAAAATTAATAAACATAAAATACTAATTAATGAATAAGATTCAGACTTTAAATACAAACGCACTTAATGTCTGAGATCTGAATGATTAAGATTCAGACATCCATTAAATGCAAACAAATGAGCCCTAGAACTCCTAACTTTGGGGAGTAAATCTCTTGGAAAAATGTCATTCTGAAGAATGAGAAAGCAAAAAAAAAAAAAAAAAAAAAAAAAAAAAAAAAAAAAAAAAAACAGTTTTAAATTTGTTGAGTGCAAAACTTCATTTTTAGTTTAAACATGACTGCAACACCCACACCTTCCAAATGCTAAGACAACAAATTAAAAGAGAAAGAGAGGATACTGCAATTTGACTTAGTATGTATTTGATATTGATACTCTTGCTTCAACTTAATTACACAATATTAATGATATCTTACGTCTCTAAACTCATCTCTGTTGGGCCATTTTTTAACCATTAGAGCCCTAAAGAATGAATTCGAGGGGAATATGGCAAATGTTGAATATTTTGCTGAAGGGCTCGGTGAATTATGTAATTGGAAAGAGATGATGCTTCATCAGAGACACAACGGATCGCTCTTTGATTCACCAGCCACTACGGCAGCTGCCTTGATTTACCATCAACACGATGAGAAATGCTTTGGGTACTTGAACTCAATCTTGAAACTGCTGAGAATTGGGGTATGCACTACTACGATCATCTTAATACTTCAATATTATCTGCCTAAGGAAAATACTTTTCATTTCTCTTCTTAGAATTAGTTGGAATTAAATTTTAATTATGTTAGTATGTTTACTATATGTTCGATATGTTTGATAGGAGACTAATAGTTTAGGGTAGTCTTCTAGTGATTAGAAATTTATGTTAGTATGTTAACTTACCATACATTTCCTTTACCGTGGCCTCTTGACCATTTTCCTTAACAACATTTCGCCATCCTGAAAAAGAAGTATTTTGTCCTTAAGGTTCGAGTCAAGAGTGTTGTTAGTAGCACGCTCCCCACTAATTACCCTCCATATCGTTACTACACTTAAAGAGCTACATTTGTGTCCTACAAATTATCTCTAATGATATTACTTCAACTGTCCCCTCTGGTGTGACAATGTAACTGATTAAGTATGGAATTTAAGAAAGAAAAATAAAAGAATTTTAAAAATTATGGTCTAGTATTTGTCATAAATATTTGTGTGGTCCTAAATTTCACGACCTAAAACTACGTGATGGGCATCTGGTACACTACCCGACCTGGATGGACCAACCCGTACAAGAATACCCATCTATATGTCTAGTAGATGCATGCGGAAGCCTTTTGCAAACCTCAGTCATTTTAAATGATTAAAATTATACATGGAACTTAATCTTTAAATCCACGCTTTTTACCTCAATCATTTTTCTTTCATGCATGCCATATGAATAACTCTCGATTACAACTCAAAATAACGAGTGTGTATGGAATCTCTAAGACACGAGAATGGAACAAACATCTGGGATAATTCCCTACAAAAAGAAAGTAAAAGCAATATGAAACTACTATGAAATAGAAGTGATGCATCATCATATACATCGGAAAAAGAGTCATCCTAGTCATGTCCTCACATCGCGTACCACATCTTATCCTAAAACATATAAAGTAAGTGGGCCTTAGAGAGGGGAGCCCGCGAGTGTGAGCACGTGATTTTTGTTTACGCGACAATTACTCCAAAATAAATAAAAAATAATAGCAAATGGTCTTGCTGTACAATTTTGAATTTTTACGTGGCACTTTGTTAATTGTTTGTGATTTTTGCCCATTTTTATTTTTATTGAAAACAAAATAAAAAAAATGTGTCGTGTGTAGTTGAACCGTAATTGGTTTTAAAAGGAAAATTGTAAAAAATATGCGTCTTTTATTCTATTTTTGTTGTCATTAAGTGATTTTGTTTTAATTAAATGTCAATGTGAGTGATAATCGTTGTTTTGAGTATTAATTAATATTGGTATGATTTTATTTTTTATTAGGAATTTTTATTTAATTATAAGAAGGAAAACATTGGATTTGGGCCAGAATTTTAAATGAAATCAGGCCCAAACCAATGCAAATGACCCAGTCCAACCAGGCCCTCTGTAAGACGCCCAAACGACGCCGTATAGGCATCATCTCTTTGAGCCGTTGATTGATACAAAGGAACGGCCCAGATCTGGCCAATCCTTTACTTAAACGACGCCGTATGAGGCCGTCTAATCCCAACCGTTAATCCAATCTCATCCAACGGCCTCAGGACACGCCTATAAACCCGACCCGTTCAACCTCTAAACCAACCCAACCCCTGGCATTTGAAACGACACCGTTCCCCACCAATTGAAAGATCCTGGCCTTTCATCTCGCCTCATTCGACGGCCAGGATCTATTCACTCATTAACTATATAAACCTAAAATCATACCCCACCCCCCTATCCAAACACCCCTCCTTCGTCCTCATCCCCTTCCCAGACCCCAAACCTTAGGAACCCTAGCCGCCCCCTTTCCCCTCACCATTAAACCCGGCGGCATGGACGTCGGTGACCCCCACCTTAACACCCTAGGACCACCTCGACACCCCGAACATGGATCTGCAAACCATTGATCTCGAACCTTCCCCCATAATGAAGATTCGAGCAAAACTCCGATCTACACCGATCTACCCCAGTTTCATACCAGACAGTCCCCGGACCTCCCTCGTGACCAAACCATGCTTGGTTTGGTCCGAATCTAACCAGGGAAACCTAGATCCCAAATCTACCCTTAGGAACCCTAGAAGTCCTGATGCCTGGTCTGTGTCTGTTTGAACTAAAAGATTAGGGTCTAATGGACCTTAATCGAAGTGTTCTCAGTAGAGAACACTTCGATTAAAGCCCATTCAACCCCAAGAAAGATCGATTTCAAATCCGAGCTGGGGTTTTCTGATTTTTTTAAGGCTTTAAGGTAATTTTTGTTTTCTTTATCAGTTTATTTTGTCTGCTACAATTGAATGTCTGTTCGTATGTTTTGTTTAATTTATGTTATTGAATTTTTGTCGACTGTTGTTATCCACTTTGCCCGGACCTCTGTATTTGGCCAAGTTCTTTCCATTTACTGATCATGTGTATGTGTGTAAGCTGTTCAATCAATTGAATTTAAATTCGATTGATTAATTAATTCTCCAGTACAAATTTTGCTTAGTTAGTGCAATTTGAATCGCATGTTGATACTGTTAGATTTCTGATTATTGGCTATTGTTTGTATATGTTATAACTAGTATAGTCGATTCGATACGTGTCGTCGATTGGTTTCAGCTGTTTGAACGATAACAATTTGATCTGTTTCTGTTAAACATTGTTTGAATCAAATTGAAAATCGAGTATAGCTACTTATAGTTGCAGATTTGAATCAGAAATTTAAGGATTTGGTCTGTAGCTGCAGCCTGAACTGGTGGCATGTGCACTTGTGCACAACATGTGCATAAAGGCCATTTTTAGAGATTAAAATAACTTGACAGCATATGCTGTCAGGTTATATTCTTGCTGCCCATGTCTGCTTTTAGTTTAATAAGTTGATTAAAAGGGCTGTCAGGGAATATCATGGGAGGGTTCCTAATTTTAAATGTTTGAGTGAAAAAACAGCTGAAAAGGAATGGGTTCTGAGTTGCTTAACAGGCTGTGAATAGCCTGATGTTAGGCTATAAAAAGAGGCAGAACTTCCATTAGAGAGGGGGATTTTTCAGACGGATTTTTAGAAGCATAGATACAGACAGACATACACACACAGACACAGATACACACACACATACAAAAGAGAAGCTGAAACTAGACAGAAACAGCTTCTGAGTTAGAAAGAGAGTTTTCAGAAATCAGGAAGGGAGATTAGAAAAGAAATTCTTGTTTGTCTGGAACCAAAAACACTGTTTTTCCTCATCCCTTCGTGTCTGAAATCCAGCACCAAGTTTGTTATTGGTTCTATCAAGTTTTAGGATTTTCCCTTGAGTATTTGAAAAGATTGACATTGAGTACTGTACCATTGGTTTACTGCTTTGGTCTATTTTGTCTGGGATTGTCATTGCTGATGTGTTGTTTTGTTGTTGCTGCCATTCTTGTTGTTGCTGCTGCTGACTCTTTTGCTTCCACTTCTTCTTTGCAGTTCAGTATCCAGGTACACATTTCGAGTCCTATATTGGTGTAACTGTAACAGTTTGAAAGCATGAAATGAAAGATGTTGAAGAAGTTTAAATATCTGTTGTAATACTCATGGTATATTGATGGGCTTGTATAATTGACTAGTTTGTAATTCAATAGCATGAAAGGATAGTTAATTGATACTTAACTGAGTTTTAGTCCTTTTTTTGTTTTGGTTTATAGTTGTTTGTACAAGGTATGTAATTGTACAATCCATAGAATGCATGGATAGTTGACATAGTGACCAACTAGATTTCTTTTCTGCTATAATAGTATGCATAGGATAGAATACTTCGACTTTATACAACGCAGTTCTGTTTTTATTTTTAGTTTCTTTATCGGGTCTCGTTAGGCAGTATGTAGGATCACGTTCGAATCCCATTAGTAACAATGTTTAGAAGTTAATTCCCTTAATCTAGCCTAAATGAGTTTATTTAAATTCAACTCAAGAAATGTTTGGAGTAAGTGTAGCGTTCCATCAGCTTGTATGTAATTTTATCAAATTAAAAGCATGTTCCACGAGGTATGACATTCTTTATCTCGTAAATCACTAATCAGATGATTAACAGGAAATCCGGAGTTTTGGCCAAAAGCATGCAATTGAATTAGCGCGTACTCTTTTCCTCTTTTTCTATTTTTTAGAGACAAACATAATAGAAATGTAGTCACTTTAGGATATCCCTTTAAAAAATAATGAGACGAGCCTCGTCAAATAAAGATACACATTGCGGGGCCCTCAATAATTGATCATAATAAACACATAGGATTTAGGATGGACTGTCTAGTAAAATTCACTCCTTCCCTAAAGATAATAACGCGTTAGGCTCTTTAGGCGCGACTTAATCGAATTACATTCTTAAACTCGGGTGCACATTGATGTGACCCAAATCCAAATCTCAACGGAGTCGAAATGTGTTAA